TCGATACTTCATCCAGCCAGAAACCGGATCTGATGCTTCATCCAGTCGGCAACCAGTTCTGATGCTTCATCCAATTTTAAACTGGTTCTGATGCTTCATCCAATCAGAAACCGGTTCAGACGCTTCATCTAGTCAGAAACCGGTTCTGATACTTCATCCAGTCAGAAACCAGTTCTGATGCTTCATCTAATTGGAAAACAGATCTGATGCTTCATCCAGTCAGAAATCGGTTCTGATGCTTCATCCAATCAGAAACCGGTTCTGATGCTTCATCCAGTCAGAAACCGGATTTGTTCTGTTACGCGCTGTATATGGCCTGTTTGATCTGTTACACACTGTATATCGCCCGTTTGTTCGGTTGCACGCTGTATATCGCCTATTGGTTCTGTTACACGCTGCATATCGCCTTTTTGTTCTGTTACAGCTCTATATCGCCTGTTTGTACTGTTACAGCTTTATATCGTCTGTTTGTTCTGTTACACGCTGTATATCGCCTGTTTTTTTCTGTTACAGGCTGTATATCGCCTGTTTGTTCAGTTGCACGCTGTATATCGCCTGTTTGTTCAGTTGCACGCTGTATATCGCCTGTTTGTTCGGTTGTGCGCTGTATATCGCCTTTTTGTTCTGTTACACGCTGTATACCGTCTGTTTGTTCTGTTACACGCTGTATACCGCCTGTTTGTTCTGTTACACGCTGTATATGGCCCTGTTTGTTCTGTTACACGCTGTATACCGCCTGTTTGTTCTGTTACACGCTGTATATGGCCCTGTTTGTTCTGTTACACGCTGTATATTGCCTGTTTGTTGTTACATGCTGTATATGGCCTGTTTGTTCTGTCACATGCTGTATATCGCCTGTTTGTTCTGTTACACGCTGTATACCGCCTGTTTGTTCTGTTACACGCTGTATATGGCCTGTTTGTTGTTACATGCTGTATATTGCCTGTTTGTTGTTACATGCTGTATATCGCCTGTTTGTTCTGTTACACGCTGTATACCGCCTGTTTGTTCTGTTACATGCTGTATATGGCCTGTTTGTTGTTACATGCTGTATATCGCCTGTTTGTTCTGTTACAAGCTGTATATTGCCTGTTTGTTGTTACACAATGTATATGGCCTGTTTGTTTTGTTACACGCTGTACATGGCCTGTTTGTTGTTACATGCTGTATATGGCTTGTTTATTCTGTTACACGCTGGATATCGCCTGTTTGTTCTGTTACAAGCTGTATATTGCCTGTTTGTTGTTACATGCTGTATATGGCTTGTTTATTCTGTTACAGGCTGTATATGGCTTGTTTCTTCTGTTACAGGCTGTATGGCCTGTTTGTTCTGTTACATACTGTATATGGCCTGTTTGTTGTTACATGCTGTATATCGCCTGTTTGTTCTGTTACATGCTGTATATGGCCTGTTTGTTCTGTTACATGCTGTA